GTGCTAGGCTGAGCCAAAGACAAAAGTCCCCTTTCCCATCTTACTACCCTTTTCTTCGTTTTCTTTCCTTCTTGATATTTTCTCTTCAACCTTTAACACTTTATTGTATTAGACACTGAAGAGGATGGGCAGTCAGTCCGATCTCCGATTGGAACGTCCCTTTCCGACGTTCAGTTGGAATGTCATCGAAAGGTGACTCAGCTTTTTAATTTATTTTTTTTTTGTTTTATAATTCCGACTGGAAAGTGGAAAGGCGAAAGCTTCGCCTTTATATTAAGGGTCCTTGTTACTCCTTGCATCTTAGTGTTTACATAAAATAGCTAAACAACCAACGATTTTTTGTGCGGCTGTTGCTGAAGATGTGCTTGCGGTTTTCTGTTTCGTGCGAGACGACCGTGCTGGTGTTTCGTCGATGTACTGGACGGCTTTGGCCACTGGCCGACAATCAGGATGATGTTCCGGATAAGCATTCCCAACCAACTCCCCGTGCACCACTTTCACGGTCGGCGAGAAACGTTTCTCGCTACTACCACCACCTGTAATTATCCCAAGCACTCATGATCACTTTTCTGTACCACTGCAACTATGAATGCGCATGGCTTTTTAGTCCAAAAATTACGAAGAGTTGAGAAAAAGCCCAAATGAGAAACAATTTTCGCACAGCTCTAAAAAACATTTCCTGGCGAAAGTGTCGTCATGAACGGAGCCCTTTCTCAAAAATCGTTCTGGACTGAAAAGGAATCGAACCATTCCACTTCACGTTCGGACGCAATGCGTTACCACTACACCACCGGTCCTTGTGCTACAAGTTCAGCCTGGCAGCATATCTACTGTGTATCTGCCTTTCAAGGCAAGATTCTCATTTTCTTCTCTTTTTTCTTTTGTGGCGGCTTCTTAGTCGGCTTTTCGTGGGTTTTCCACGACAAACATGACAGGTCTCTTTGTTGGACTAGACCTCGAATGCTACACAATATTCAACGTCCAACAACTTTACGGCTGTAACAGGATGAAAATCCAACCCAAATTCACAATGGCTCATTGAATGGATGGATTTGACACCGAAACAAAAAAGAAAATAACCAGCGCACCACATGCCGGTGCGAAGATGCGTTTTTTGCATAGTTTTCCACAGTTTTTGTCGTTACTGGCAGCGCTTTCCGGCAAATGCTTCCAGCTAAGAGAATTGAGACTGACCATCAGGGCTGAACTAAAAACATCCCTTTAAAATTCCAGTCTTCTAGCTTCTCAGGTCCCCGAATTAGCATCTTACGCAAAAAAACTTTCACGGGACTGTACGTAGGTACTGCGCGGGTAAGGGCGCCCACTTTGAGGACTGGGGCCGTACGTGCATGCAGATTAAGTTCCCGAAATCTCAGCCCTATAGCTTCTGTAGGTCTCGAGATGAAAAATCGGTACAGACGCAGAGCGTACATACAGACAATCCCTCGTCAATATGCATTTTCTGCATGACAAACATGCAAAAAAACTCATAAAAACTGGCTCGCATGGAATGAACGTGTGGTGCGGTGACAATTATAAATTAAATTGCTCCAATTTTTTTTACATTTTTTTTTTCAAATTTTTTGGGAGAAATGCTTGTAATTGGTTATTATTAGATGTGACAAAAATATACCACTGTGTTTGATTCGTGCCCAAATGGTTTCACATGTCCAGCAACGATAGAACACAATACTTTTGCCGGGAAAATGATCCGAGAGTCGATAAACGC